CCAACGGAGGAGAAACAGGCGAAAGAAATATTACAAATATTCTTTTTTGTCATGTTTTTTCCTCTAAAAATTAAACATATTTAACTTATTTTTAGAAATAGCTTAGGAGCGATCAACTCATTCCTTAGTATAACCAATGTATTCATTTATATTATAATAAACCTTTTTTTTAATTTTTCTTTATCAATTTATTTAACTGGTTAATAGGCACGCTTTGCGCATTTACAGGTGTTTTGTTGTAGAAGCGTGGTGTATACGCTTGAACGAGCTACTTACTCTTTCTAGTTTAGTAGCTGCCAATATAGAGTGAAATAACATGTTTATTGATATTATGAGCCGTGATAGCTCAGTGTACAGGCGCTTGCTTTTAATTAAAAGTACTCGAGCAAACTGAATTGAAATTCCGGTTCCGGGGACCAATACAATTATTAATTTTAAGTGATGATTTAAGATGTGCTCGGTGGATCTTTTTGAAACAATTTAGAAATAATTACAAAAAAAAATGTTACGAAGTCCGCCATAAGTTACAGGTCGCGTGGTGGACTATGCCCTGATACCCTCTTTACAGAGGAGGCCTTTGCCCTGCAGTGGGACATTTATAGGACGTTACTTTGCTTTTTACTTTTTATCTACACATTTTAAATACGGCCTTTATCGGAGAAGCTATGTCATCGTCTCCTTTACATAGAACGACCTTGGGAAAAGACCGTCAAATTTAGGGGAACTGACTTAGAGAGCCGTAGAAACATTTTTCGTATTATCCCTCAAATTGCTCGTCATTACGAGGTTACTACGTCACTAAGTTAGACTTATCGCAACTGTAAACACAAAGCCGATGAACGTTTTATATGCGCGTCTATCAACAAGCGTTCCCTGTGACGTCATGCCCTCGGGTCGTCGCGCTCGAGTGAAAACGATTCGAGATAAAAGTGAAACGTGAGAAAGCGCGGCAGGTGGATGTGTCGGTTTCGCGCCGAGGGGGCCCATTGACTGCAACACCAAGATTTCGGAGGTCGTTCACGTAACGGGTTGATATCGATATCGAACAGATGTGAACGAAATGAAGTACATTTTAGGGTTCCATACCCAAAGGCGGCTAAAACGGGACCCTATTACTGAGAGTCCGCTGTCTGTCCATCTGCCACCAGGCTGTATCTCATGAACCGTGATAGTTAGACGTTTGCAGTTGCGTGTGCAGATGTGTTTTGATTACAAATAAAGATTATTATTATATTCGTTAACGCCTCGTCTGTGTTTTTACTATGTAGTTTGACGTACCAAACAGTCACGAACATTTAAAGAAAATAAATATTTTTAATCTGTATCACCCATTTATTACTAGCAACCCCGCTGCACTCCTGCTGTCATTGAAAGTTTAAAGTAAAAAATTAAAATTATGTACATAATAGTTACTTCATAGCAATATTTTAAAAGGGGTGGGAAGAAAAGAAGCTGTAATTATTACATGTTTCAAGATAGAAAGGGTGGTTTGTACACAGACGAGGCGTTAACTTCATATAATTTTGATCGAAGGTCATTTACAGGTAAGTTACTTTGATCAATCAATTATTATTAATAATAATTAATTTACTGAAATCTAACGGCATTAGCGTAAGCGGCCATTTTGCAATCTTGTTGGTTTTGTGTATTGTTTTAGAAGAAAAGAAAAAACTGCCGCTCGTATGTAAACCCTTTGACGCGAGAGGGTTCAAATATGATAAGTTACGAAAACCTCTGGGAACAAAGTAAAGTTTGGAATAGCATAAATAGATTTATGTCACTCTAACCTTTACATTATAAACGGGGCAAAGGCTTCTAGACAGAGGTTAGACATGGTCAGTTACGATAAATACAGGGCTTGATACTCTGGCTTTTAACGTGCGTCTCTAAACGTGCCAAGTCCGAAGCATTGCTTAGTTTGGGCCTACATAATGTTATGTAGAAATATGTCCAAAAAATATCGCTGCGATCTCGATGCCAGGGACGCTTGCGGTTCGTGCCACAAAGATTACGGTGGAAGAGCCATGCAGCGGCCTCGGCTGTTGCACGAATAGGCAGGCCCGTCCGGGTAAGTACCACGACCTCACAGAAGGCCGGCGTAAATTGGAAGTATGACAAATACTTCGTCTGGTGAGTGAGGAAGCCGGAGCCCAATTTTCAAAAGGTTGTCAACGCATCTGTAACCCTCGGGTGTAGCAGATGTCCATGGGTGGCGGTATTCACTTACCAACAGGTGAAACTTGTGCTCGTTTGGCCACTCTTTACATAAAAAAAAGATGACGCTAGTCGCGCGATCACACAAGTATTGAACCTAAACCCAAGAATCCTCATCATCATCATCATTTCAGCCTGTTTGAGTGCACTGCTGAACATAGGCCTTCCCCATAGACTGCCACGAAGTACGATCCTGAGCCACTTGCATCCATCGACTTCTCGCACATTTGTACAGGTCGTCACTCCATCTAGTGGGGGGTCGGAATACCCTGCGATGGCCAGTACGAGGCTCGACCTCTTATTCCCCAACTGTTTATGCATAACTTTTCGTAATAATTTAGTTTAAAAAAAAAAAAAAAACAAAATGGAGTACATTATACGGTATTGGATTTAAAAAATGAACGTTGTGTTTATGCCTCCGTAGCTTTCCGCATTTACTTTCAGCAGTGGAGTGACTCCCTACTATTTGAATTCTGCTGAGTTGTAAGACTTGTATGCAAGATGTTTTTCTCGTAATGTTTTCGTTCACTGCTGAGCACGTAATAAATCAGCATATAAAATTGCAATTAAATAATTCGATTGTTAACGGAACTGGGTTTTGAAATCAGGTCGCCCGAGTATACTGAATTCAAAGCGACCACTGAGGCACCACGGCTCATTTGATGATGCAATGTTATAATCCGTAGATTTCCGCAAAGGAAAGTCTTGATAAATTGAGAGCCGATATCAAGCTCAATGTTTGGCCCCCCATTCATGAAGATATTCGTTGAATTAAGTTTTTATTCCCCGCGAGATTGAATCAAATTGTAAGACTGCGAGTTAAAACATTACAAAGCTTTTGGTATTGCATATCGCTACATTGTTGATTATGTAAGGTTTAGGTTTCGTTTGCGAAACATTCTTTACAAAGTTTCGTTCGATATCTCTTTCGCATGCTTTTGTATTGTTTCTCTGTTTTGTTGGAATTACAATTGATATTGGTGCGGTGTTACTATCATTGTTCATTTTACTTACGGGTTATTTAATATTGAAATGACTAAAATCAATAATCGTATTCAAGTTTCCTTGGCAGGAATTACCCGAGTACAAAAAGTCAATGCACTCTATTGGATTTTACACGTAAAGCACCGGATGTATCAATGAAGTGATACAATCAAATGCAATATGCAGATTATTTTTTTGTCTGTTAATTTCTCTCACCGAATGAATCTTTCGTTATCACAAAATGTTTAAAGCATAATAAAACTGGCTGTTCATGTTTTAATTTGTTCTTTTTAAAATTGTTTGGTTTGTATTCTTTTAAATTGTGTTTTAAAATACATTCACCAATATTTTTACAATCATATAGACGGTATAGTATTGACACTTACTAGAACAAACAATAAAATTGTTTAAAATTATTGAATAATAAACATATTGCGGAATTTAGAATAGTATTTATAATTACAGAATGAAAGTCAAACTACGAAATAAAATAAATTTATTGTACATTTAGTATTGAGTCTTAAGAGGTCGCGAGTTCGAATCCTAGTGGACTATATCGACGTGTTTTCTTACGTGGTAAAATTACTGTCTTTTTTGTAAGCCATGAGTATGATAGGTTTAACACCCGTCAGCTACCGTGAGAAATTGTTTATTGCTGGATGTAAGTTTTTTATTTTTGTATGGAAATGCTTCTGCTATATAATTAACTGCTTCTTGCATTTCAATGAGGCTGAATTCGTGATTAGCAGTGCCTGTTGATTTTTAAATTCTCTAGGCAAAACTGTTGTTTGCGTTAAAAGTAACTGTGTTATAACTAGTCTTCGACACTAATTTTTAAGCTACTCATGGTAATTTTAAAATTATTCTATTATTACTGTAACTTTATTAAATCATTGATCCTTTTTAACCCGTGACGTATGACATCTTGAAAGCTAACGTAATCGAGATGGTCCTTAGTTTCTATTTTATGACGATCTCTCTTGGCGTTCGATTAATCATCAGCTCATTTACTACTTAACAAAGGTTTCACTAACATTAAGTACACCTGGTTATTTCGAAACATAAAGACACACAGTTGAACCTACGCGACAATAAATGAACACGCATATGGAGGATAACTTTTTAAAATTGTATCAAAAATTTACATTCTTTAAACATTATTTACAGAGTTATTAAATTTTCCAAAACAAAGAATTTTAGACCCTTACGTATAAAACTGTAACGTAAAGTTCATTTGTAAAGGTCACAAAGCATATTAATGGGTTGAATGAATTTAAAAGAGACAAAACATACTGCTAGAAGGAGAAGCTTGTAATGCGACGCCGTGGCAACGAATGAAAAAGTCTCTGAATGTATGAAACAGTCAGTTGTAGTTGTATAGGATGTTACAAATTTTGTTTCTTTTTTACTTAATTAGTTTGTTTGAAAAAAAATATTATGGTTTTTTTTTAACGTTAATATTTTTTTATAATTATTGGCATGTAGCGTTAGACGTGTGTTCATTTATTGTCGCGATGGTAACGACACGCTGTATAGATTGGATAGAAAGGTTCCTGAGATACGGTTTTGTATGGGCCGTAGATCGGAGTGTAGAACGACCCTTACTAGATAGATGGAGTGACGATCTTTGCAAATGTGCGGGAAGTCGATGGAAGCAGGTGACTCAGGATCCTGACAGTCTGTGGGGCCTATGTTAACAAATAATTTACTTATTTTCCTAACTAAGCCATTGAAGCCGAGCAAACAAAACTGCTCAGGCGTTTCGTATTGCGCCAAAATAACAAACTCTTCTTCGATTTCAGTGCTAACACGGCGATGGATAATGACGTCACGCCTGTATACCTGGCGGCCCAAGAAGGCCACCTCGCTGTGCTGAAGTACTTGGTGCTGGAGGCGGGCGGGCGGCTGGATGCCAGGGCCCGCGATGGGATGCTGCCCATACACGCGGCTGCGCAAACCGGTTGCCTGGACTGCGTGAAATGGATGGTGGGTAAATTGAATCCACAATCAAACTGATAACTTCGTCTCAATCGGGCGGACGATGCACGCCAGTTGTTGCGCTGATAATACTAACCTTTGTAAGTGCCATTAATGGTTTTGGCAGTGGTAGGGCCACCATCCGTGAAACAGCGAAGACTGTTATTTATTTGAGATATTACTACTATAATTGAAGACGTAAATGAAATTGTTCTAATATTTATAGCATTTGGAAATAAAAAAACAACCTCAACTTTACTATCTATAATCAAGGTTGTTCATTATAACATGTATACAGACATATATGTATGTATTTTGTATTTTTTTATTAAAAACATTGCCCTTTCTTTAGGATAACAGTATCCTGTGACGTATAAAGACGTTTTACAAACATACATTTCACTTGGACAAATACCCAAATGCGAAACAGCTAGTCACTGTGGGTCACACAAATAGTGGTTCCGTGTGGGAATCGAACCCACGAGCCCCCGCCGAAGACAATACTTTACCAACTGCGCCACAAAGTCTTCAAGTATGCTTGACTCTAGACTGTAAGTAACAGCAGTAAATTACCATCATAACAGATTTATGGATCACATTCTGGGAATAATAGAAGTAAATTTAATTGTTCTAACATATTATCATTTCTTTAAAGAAAACATGTTTGCTTGCCTTTTTACAAATTAAGGCGAGAAAAGTGCACTTGTTTCTTAATTGTGATCATTCGTTAGCAGTACTGTTAATTTCTTTATGTCACCTTACCGGAACCGAAGCATTCTAGAGTAATAAGGAAATCTCACGGTAAATTGCAATGCTTTTGCAAGAGAAAAGCGGATATCTGAGTAGTATTTGATTTTTGTTATTAACTATTTTATTAATATAAAATGTAAAGTTTAGAAACCGTATGGCGTTTCAGATGTGACTGAGGTCATACGCGGATTTTAAAGTTTTAAATAGTCATATTTATTTTAAGACCAACTGCTAATGATGACGAAGAACTTGTTAGCTGAAGGTCTGATGTAATACTATTATAAATGAAATCGTGTTAAATTTTATTTATATGGGACTGATTTAAAACTTATTTTCGAGACGTGCATTGTAGAACACTTTATTGTCATCTGATTATGACGCCTACCGATGAGATACTAATTATTTTACTTTATATTATATCGTTGTCATTTAGCTTGGTTCTATTTACGCTCCATTTATAGATTGACACTGCAATTTTTTTTAATGTAAAGGAGGCCTTAGTGGGCGTTATACTGTGTATTGGTACAGCATACTACCCTACCAGGATCGCATAAATATGTTCAGATATGGAAAGCAATCGAACTTTAATTACGGGATTTTCTCTTGTTTTTCATTGTGAAAAGACTTACGCAATACATGTAGATAATACACAATCACTACTGACAGACTGCCGTCATTAAGTTATTATGCAGAGGAAATATTTACGTCATAGCGGAATATCGCAATGTACGTTTCTCCATTAGTGTTATTAGACCATTATTGGTTCTGACACTCACGATTTCATTGTTCCCATAGGAGATATTAATTGCACTAAGATTTCTAACGTTGACGCGTCAAATTTACACATTTAATGAAATCGAATCTAGAACTTTCTAGTATGAATATTTTTAAAACGAGTATAGAAGAGAGTAATTAGAGGTTTAACGTTTTTAGAAATATTGTTTGAAAAAATGTTATTGATAACAATGACATGTTCCGGTGGACTGAAATTAAGAAGGATAATTAGTGCTAAGTCTATAGAATCAAATGTAAATATTGGTTTGCTGGCAAAAACTAAGGCTTTATTATGAATATGTATATTATGACATTTTCTTTTGTTTTTGACTAGTAATTCTGTGCTTACAATTGGGCATATAATTAAATTCAATTCTCACGCGTTTTTTTCTTAGCGCGATTATGGTGTATAGGAATTTGGTGGATATCTTATTGGTTTTTCATTCTTCCCGTAAACAAATTATCCAAAAACATGCTTTTTTAATTTATATTTCAAATGGCAGCTTTAATTTAGACTAGATCTAGTTCCATAAATGGAGAGTACTCGTAAAGTTTTATTAAGTAGGATGCGTTACTAACCGGAATAATAAACATTTTATAGTACAATTATTATGCTTGTTCTTGATAACAGTTTTACAGCCATGTCGCCCTACTTGGAATAACTGTTTGTTATTAGCTTATTCATGCTTGCTTCTCCAATAATATTTGTGGCTTTGAGTTTCGTTCGTTGAATCAGGAAACTGGAGGTCCACCATCAGCGTTCGGCAACACATTTGCATTATTTTATTTTTAACATACTATAAATTGATAAACTTATATATTATAGGTACTTATAATTAAGAAAGTGTAGTGCACATGATTTATATATACATATTATACATAGGCATAGATCTATATATATATATATATATATATATATATATATATATATATATATATATATATATATATATATATATATATATATATATATATATATATATATATATAAATAGATACATATATATTATACATAGGTGTCATATTAGTAAGGATGAAGTACATCGATGTAACTATTCACGAGAACTGCTGCCGACAAACTGCATCACAGTTTGGCAGAGAATAATTTATGTTATTTTACTTTATTACTGGATTGAATAATAATAAAAAAAAAACGCCTCACTGACCATCAGATGGGCCGCTTTCATAGTCACAATATCTTTGCAAATAAAACAATTGCAGTAGTATTGTTGGTGTGATCCCGAATAATCTGGTATAAGCGCTTATCCAATGTTTAAAATTTTTTCCGATGTTATCTTCATTAACGAAGTGAATGAAGAAACACTTTATTTGTATATGAATTATATAATATCTAATGTATACGAATCTAAAAAATGAGTTTCAAGCGTTTCATAGATAATGAACTCAATGAATGAATATTTGTAATTCCTGTATAAAAATGACAGAACATTTAAAATGAAAAGGATCGAGAACAACAAAAATTGCACCAGAAAGTACTGGTATGCATTAACGTTAAGAATACGCATTAAAGAAATGAATGATTTCTATTGCGTTTAATTTAATTCCAGAAATTTAAAAAAATTACTATTTACGAAAAGAGCTACATTAAAAATGATTTCCAAGCGGATTTACAGAACTACTTCTATCCTTTTCTAGATCGTCGAACGTGGCGTGGACCCTAACGCGAGGGACGGAGACGGAGCTACCCCGCTCCATTTCGCTGCGTCCAGAGGCCACCTGTCTACCGTGCGCTGGTTGCTTCGCCATGGCGCCAGGCTTCACTTGGACAGGCACGGCAAAAGCCCCATCAACGATGCAGCCGAAAACCACCATCTAGAGGTAATCACCCCCATCACGTTTCCACTGTGGATAAGTCATCGAATTCTATTGTTGCTGCATGAATAGCCATCTGCATCCATCGACTTCCCGCGCAATGGCTCAGGTCGTCACTCCATCTAGTTGGGGGTCGTCCCACACTGCGATGGCCAGCACGAGGCTGCCACTCGAGAACCTTTCTTCCCCAACATGGATGCAGGTGGCTCACGATCTTTACGGTGGTAGGGCCACGCAGCTGTCTCGGCTGTTGCACGAATGAGCGTGCCCATCCGGGTAAGTACCATGACCTCACAGAAGACCTGCGTAAAGTGGAAGTATGACAAATACTTCCGCGTTTCGACTGGTGAGTGAGGCAGCCGGAGCCCAATTTTCAAAAGGTTGTGAACACATCTGTAACCCTCGGGTGTAGCAGATGTTCATGAGCAGCGGTATACACTTACCATCAGGTGAACCGTCTGCTCGTTTGGCAAATTTTCTCATAAAAAAAAAAGACGATCGTGCTTCGTGGTAGTCTGTGGGGCTGGCCTATGTTGACAGTGGACTCAAACAGGCTGAACAGATGATGATAGGCTGACTAAATTAAGTAATATTTGAACATCATTTTGCTATTTTGTGTGATACACATGGAATGTGTCCCTATGGAAGTGTTTTGATTGTTCACACTTTTATTAATAAGAAAACCATTAGAAAGTGAATGAGCCTTTTATGTATATATATATACAGCGTGTCGTTACCATCGCAACAAAAAACGAACACACGTCTAACGCTACTTGCTAATTATGACTCCTATACATTTTGTAATACGTTTTATAAATATATTAAATATAAAAAGATTTTAATTTTAAAAGTGGAAAAATAATTTCCTTTACAGAAATACTGTACAAATATAATATAATATCGCGCATTTAAAATTACGCATTATAAATTTTTCCTTAAATTTTTAACGATATAAATGAATGCGCATCATTTTGAGGTTAGATGTAAATGTTTTGATAGTTCAAACTTTAAATAATAATAAAAGCATTAGAAAGCGAATGAGCTTTTTATGTATTTCTCTAAACAATATGTGAGTATCTTAAAAAGAAAGCGCGACGAAAGCGCAAAAGAAATCTATGTTTTTATGGTTACATGGTGATACAACAGATAATCAAACTTGTGAATGGCGATTTGTTATGCAATGGATCACTAGTCTTGTGGTTGGTTAACTCTTATGCGCGGAATTCTTAAAGGCTGTGTTATCGTTGCTCGTCCAGTATACAACGTGCCGCATTAACTTCTAAGATATAGAGCGATCTACGCAGTTCGCGGCGATAATAACTTTATCTTTCACACTTCTGTGATTTCGAACAAAGCGCGCACGGAAGAAATTAAATCGTGTCCCAGTGCGTTACCTTACGACTTAATTAACCAAATGCCGCGAGATATTTAACTTTCTATAAGTTTACGGTCCAGTCTAGCGGAGACAATGGAGTATTGTTGCTTTAGTTGTGAGCTGTTTCGTCCTATCAACGTAAATCGTTAACCGAAAAGACGTTTAATTAAATTGAATGCTGTCTATAAAAAAACATATACGTGGGAATATTTAGAAAGCGTTGACTAGTGTATCTGTAGGGAAAGTGGTTCTTTTCAAAATTTTGCATTTGGGTCTGCGTTTAGGGCAGCAACTGGTAACTGTAGACTTTAGAGTCACGGGTCATATACAGCGTATCGTTACCATCGCGACAATAAATAAATATAAATATAAAGTAAGGATTTATAAGTGCGTGTGAGCGATTTATGTCAGCAGTACCCTGACATCTCGTCCGGGTATATAATAGAGTGCAGGAAAATATTAATAGAGTGCTGGTTTCATAAACTTTGAAATGAGTTTGTTAAACCGCAAACTGTGGGTGGACTTCTATCCTACAAAAGCGAAACTCCCAACAGGCGTTTTATCCATTTTATTATTAAAACTGTTGATTCCATAAAACTTAATTTTTTCAAACGCATGACCTTAAACCCTAACCATAACGTTACCACTAACAGACCATCACATTTCATTACAAAATATCCCTTTCTTATGTGAGAAGAAGGCAAGCGAGCTGACGGCTTACCTGATATTTGCAACAACTGTAGGGTTGCAGATGTGTGGCCATATTTAATATAGTGGGAAGAAGATTAACACTTCCACTTCACGCTGGTCATCTGTGAGGTCGTGGTACTTACTCGGACGGACCTGCCCATTCGTGCAACGGAGCAGACTGTTGCGTGACCCTCCACAGTTACCTTGCAAACACATGACGCAGGAAGATTCGCACGGCGAACAATACAAACGAATTGTGTTACAATTCAGTAACAATGGTTTAGTCATGTCCGTTCCATTGAATCCCATTTGGACACGGAGGTCAAAGTCATGGGTTTCGGTTACACAAGAACGCATAGCGTGCCATTCCAGTAAACTGATTTGACACAGACAACAATCAATAGATGCTATGATGAAAAATAATTCATTAGAACTTTTGTTTCTTAAATTGTGAACGTTCCATAGATGGCCAGTACGATGTTTGGTTTGTTTATAGTATTAAAATAATTTCAATTGATAACTATATTTCGTCATCACCTTATGTCCCTCCATGAAGGTTTGTTGTCTGTTAAGTTTCAGGCTAACATAATCAACGGTCTTGCTTCTGGACACATGCCAAAGCGTAAAGTAGTTAGTTCCCTACCCAACGTCATACGCTAGTTTTCAGGTTTTTAATAACATAAGGAAAAGGCATTGTGTTACGGGGACTTTATAAAACTTTATCCACTAGGGTAAAAGGAAAGGTATTCATGCAATAACGTATTGGCTCACTCACGAGTACTTCACATAAAACTTGATTCCGAACAATGTTGCAAATAACGTTGCATTTTTCAAAGAGAACTGTTATTATTTCGACATTGATGCTGTTTCAGATAGACGATAACATCTCCGTAATGACAATTTAAGAGTAAACAACCGGATCATGAGGTAACATGAAGAATTTTAAAAGATTGTAGCCCTGTCATCAAAGATCTAGGTTGTGGCAGAACAGCATAGTAATACGAGATCGACTCTTTATAATTGCAAATCAGTTTCCTACTGTGAATTATTCGTAAAAGCGGGTTAAAGTATGTGAGGGGGTTGCGATTATAAAGTAAAAAAAAACTTAATCCCTCCCATGATTATGAATATTTCGAGACTTTCAATTTTGATGCTATATAAAATAAGTATTTTATTCTACAGCAAGAGCCCTTTATGCCATGTTCTCGTAAAATAGAACGGCATGCTTTAAGTGCCTCAATTCACGACGACATATATATCTGATTGTATTTTTTATCTTCTTTAACCGGATCTATTGAGCCACCAACACGAAAAAAGAAAAATGTGAAGTAACAGCCTATATAAATATGTCCCACCGCTGGGCAGTCTTATTCAGTTCCCAGGGGCATATTTCACGCGGCCTTACTGCGGACCTGTTACATTTTTGGGAAATATTTGTTTTTTTTTATTATTATTCCGAAAACATGCAGGTTTCCTTACGATATTTTCTTTCATCGCAATTTCATCAGCTCGAGTACTAGCATTAAAGTCTCCATATCGTTTTGGGACCAGAAAAGTCAAACATTAGCCACATTAAAATGAGTAATAAAAGCAATCCACTAAGATTCGAATACGCGACTTCGGACCGCGAGACTTTCATAGCTATTTTTCTCCAATGCCATCGTTTGAAATTTATTGTATTTTAAATGGTAATTAAATATGTAACTCAGAAAAACATCCATTCGCTAAATAAAGCTTGTGTCTAATTGTTCGCAGTGTCTGAACGTGCTTGTAGCAGCCGGCGCGGCGGGAGATAACAAAAATCTGTCATCCTACAAAGCTATACACTCCTGCGCCTGTGCCCCCGGTGAAGGAAGAGTAAGTTGAATTTCATTTAAACACATGTTAAATGTATAAAAAAGCGTGTGTGTATTTATGTTCGGACGTAAGAAGTTATATATATAAGAAGTTAAGAATTATACTTCTTTAGAGTAAAGTCATTAAATGCTATTGATAACGATTTATCAACTTGTAATCCATACTTCCATACTATAATATTATAAATGCAAAAGTAAGTCTGTCTGTCTGTCTCGCTTTTACACCAAAACTACTGAACCTATTTAAATGAAATTCTGTACACAGATAGTCTAGAGCCTGAGAAAGAACATAAGCTATTTTTTAATTAAAAAAAAATGTTGTAAAGGGTTAACAATATCTTTCTTTCAATCTTTATCAAAAAATATATAGTTTCTAAAGAAAGATATTTATTTAAGGGCTTCAACGCGAGCGAAGCCGCGGGCGAAAAGTTAGTTATTAATAAACGTCAAAAAGTTGCTACGGGTTGCCATGGTAACGCTATATAATTCATGATGAAGTTGAATGCGTTTGCATCATGTCGCTTTTTGTATGTCGGTGTGCGCGCCGCTTAATACTTTTACGCTCATAATCATAAAAACGCTCATAATTTTTCCAAACGCGCCAAGAGAAGTATAGCTTAAAAAACTTTAGATAAAAAAAAATACACAAATTACAGTGCGCATTGGCCAACTGCGTGAACGACGTGGGCAGCCGCTCGCCATTCTACCTGCACGCCCCGGAGCGCGAGCTACGCGGCCCCCTGCAGGAGCGCCGAGGGTCGCTCCCCTCCACGGGCTCCAACTCCTCGGGCCGCTCGGGGCCTGCGGACGGCCTCTACGTGAACCCCATGCAGAGGAACTCCACCAGCGCGGTTCACCACAGCTCCGGTGAGGAGAGCACGGGTTGGTATCGAGTTTTGCTTGCGGTGCAGTTGTTTCGCCGATTTGGATGATCGCAGCAATGTCTTAAATATCATAGTGATGTTCTGTAAGCGTCGTTCCGTTGTTACGCGCCATTAACGCGACCACCGTAGCAAATGAACCGCGAAACGTCGGAAACGAAGAATCGGGAAGTTTTAGTCAACACTGACCGTCCACGGTCAGTTGAATTTCGCTATTCACGCGCATCGGACGTCACGTGGAGCTCTTTATTTCGTCTACTGAAGATGTGATAATTTTATAATGTAATGTTTAATTTGTTTTGCGTGTTGGTGGTAAATGTTATTTAAAAAGTCTCTTATTATTTCTGCCTTAAGTAGCAGAAGACTTAACGATGAATCAGTGCCTTTCTACTCTCGAGATTCAATAAAACCTTAATATTGAAACCACTTAAAATCGAATCCGTACTTGGTCAATGGCCCTTATTTGTGAAGGGACCAATTTCGGTTTGAAGTGCTGGTACATTCTTTGGTCGCTATCACAATCAGCTTTTGTTATAAGTCAACTTTTGCGTTTCTCCTGTCAATAGAAGGCGGCTAATCAAGAAATGGCCCATCACAGACATCTATGGGCAAAAACTGTTGGTCTGTCCCTACAGTTAACTTTTAAGCTATTTAGTAACTTTAAAGGTAATCAACAGATTTTTTTTGAGAATTTCCGATTACCTCAATGACCGGACGTGATGCAAATGTATTTGTTTCCGATTTCAAAGTAGTGCTCTACTAGGTCGGGATACTTCGAGCTATTCTACCGATGGACGTATTCTATTTACGCCGGAGCCGATTAATTTTAAGTGCTGACTTATTACGTGCTCAGCAGTGAGGGAAAATATAGTGAGAAAACCTGCATATTTTCGAAATAACAACAAAAAAAGAATATTTCGATATGTGTAATCCGCCAATCCGCGTGGTGGACTATGCCTTAAAACCCTCTGTAAAGAGGAGGCCTTTGCCTAGCAGTGGGTTATGTATAATCGGTTAATTTAGTTTTACTTCTTTTGAAGGTCGGTTCATAAGGGTGGATACATTCGATACAGAAGTTTACGGCGAGACTAAAACTCGGTTTCAGGGAGACCAAAAGTCTATTCATCAGAACTTACTGCTTATCATACAGAAGTATTGTGGGGGACTAAAACTCAGTTCGACAGAGTAGTAGACACAAACTTCTGTATGGGACATCCGTTATATACAGAAGTTTGCGACTCTACTATACTCGGTTCAACAGAGTAGTAGAGTCGCAAACTTCTATATGGGACTAGAGTCGCAAACTTCTAAATGGGACATCCGTCCTATACAGGAGTTTGCGACTCTACTATACGGTTGAAAAGACTGCTATAACTACTATAACGGATATCCTATACAGAAGTTTGCGACTCTACTAAACTCGGTTCAACTCGGAACATCCGGTGTATACAGAAGTTTGCGACTTCACTGTACGGATAAATAGACTCGTCGTTTCCACCAGCGTGCTCTGCGTCCGAAGTGGAAGTTCATTCGGGCGGGTGGTTCCTGCACGGGGGCAACGGCGGCGGGGCGCCAGCGGCCCTGTACCAGCGCGTGCGCGACCTGTTCCACGCGCGCTCCCCCGGGCCCAGGGTGCCGGCGGAGGGCCAGGAGGCGCCGACCATGACCGGTGAGTGACAGAGACGGCAGATCGCAGACGTCGAAATGACCGGCGTGTGACGGGAGATGGGAGATCACTAGACACATTCAAATGACGGACTTATGGGGTTACGTCCATAATTATTGTTATAAAGCTACACTTTGAATGTTAGAAGTTTTAACCGTTTGGTGGTTAACGAATGGGCAGCTCTGTTTGGGGTGGTACCACGACTTGACGTGGAAGTGTTACACTTCTGCGTTTCGTCTGGTGAGTGAGTTACCGGGGCCCGATTTATTGAAAGGTTGCAACGCATCTGCAACCCCGCGGGCGTTGCAAATGTCCATGGGCGGCGGTTACCACACAACATCAGTTGAACAAGCTCGTTTGCTCACATAAAAAAAATCATCGCCGCAGTGAAAGCGGAGGTGCACGGCTCCTGCGAGGCGGCAACCACAGCCGAGCAGTCTGACAGCGACAGCGGCGCGGACGCGGCCCGCCGCGACCACCACTACGAGGACATCTACGTGCCAAGGGACGAGCCGAGGAAGAGGTATGCGACTGCCTTTATATTGGGTCTTTAATAATGAAATTGCCGCTCGTGAGTACTGGCCATTCCAAAAAAAAAGTTTTGATTTCCTGTGAAGGAAGAGGTATGCTACTTTCTTTATAATTGGGTCTTTAATAATGAAATTGCCGCTCGTAAGTACAGGCCATTCCAAACAAAAAAAGAAAAAACATTTTGATTGGCTGTGAATTACAGTTCGAATTAATTTTGTATTTTAAAAACATGAAATTTCTTTTACAAAGTCACGCCCGGTCTCTCAAACACTGATCATCGTAGAGTAAAAGTCAACTAATCAGCTGTCAAATGGCTTTTCAAATGTTATTTGAGTTGCCAAAAGGATTGTTAAACACTCTGAATTGATCAGAATGATCTTCTTAGTGATCAGAATGGTCAATTTAAAGAGTTTAACAATCCTTTTGGCAACTCAAATAATATTTGTAAAGCCATTTGACAGCTGATAAGTTAACCTCTACGATAAACAGTGTTTCAGAAACCGGGCGAAAGTTTTTTGTTTATTGATTAGCTTTGTATTTTCATTACGATTGAACATTTTCCGTCATAATGGATACTTCATATTTTAAAAATTTGTATAATTATGGAATATGAGTTCGGTCGTTGTGCCAACGTGGCATAAACGGCACGTAAGATCGACAACGTTTACGGAGAGAACTTTCAAAATTAACCTCGAGGTCGTCCGGACACTTTGGTCAATGAATGAATGAAAGGCGGCCGTGGAGGCTGATGATACTCAATCTACAGCCGAGCGAATTTTGAACTGAATTGTTACGTGCGACGAAAAATTGATTGTGTTCGACAATCAATACAGAAATGACCAGCTCTCGACTACACCTGTGGTTTGCCGCATTGTAGGACCCATTTTTTATGTTAAAAGTTGGCAAACGATCAGGTGGTTCATCATCATCATCATCATCATTTCAGCCTGTTTGAGTCCACGGCTGAACATAGGCCTCCCCTATAGACTGCCATACGATCCTGAGCCACCTGCAACCAGGTGGTTCACCTGATGTTAAGTGATATTCGCCGCGGACATCTACAATACCTGACGGGTTGCCAAAATTAAAGACACACTTGACGCTGGTCTTCTTTAAGACCGTGGTATTTCCTCGTAAATTGGTGCATCCGTGTGGTTGAGAGTCGCATCATCATCACTATCATATCTGCCTGTTCTAGTTTTATCTCAATGCCACTCGGGAACCTTTCTTCCCCGTTGGTTATCGGTTCTCCGATACGCTTGACCATATTCTTCCTTCGTAACAGGAGCAATTCCCGCGACTCCGGCAGCCACAGCAGACCTGGCAGCGCCGCGCTTGTCGTCGACTACGCATCCAAAGAGAGCAACGACAGGTCAGTCTTAAAATAAACAAATAATATCATTTTTACTAAGAAAAAACACAGCCGACTTCGAATATCTCACTCACTTTTATTTTTCTATTTGATTTTAAGTTTCAAAGCAAAGTAAGCCAAGCCTCAAACTAACATGGGACCTAAGCCGAACCCAATGTAAAAGGGATTTTTAAAACCAGGGTTCATAAATTCCGTAGTTCTTCAATGTATGGTCATGCAACAGTCTTCTCTGTTGCACGAATGGGCAGCTCCGTCAGGGTACCATGACCTCACAGAAGACCGGCGTGAAGTGGAAGTGTTATACTTCTGCGATTCGTGTGGCGAGTGAGGTAGCCGGGGCCCACTATGTTAAAAGGTGGCAACGCATCTATAACCCTTTTTTTTTTTTTTTTTTTTTTTTTTTTTTTTTTTTTTTTTTTTTTTTCGTGGGAAAAATCCTTTATGGATCCCCTACCACTGGATCGGGGGAGTGGCAGGGGTATGTGGGAGTCCCGGTGAGAAACGGGTACCCACTAAAAAAACCCACGTTGCACCTGTCTCTGTCGCATCGGCCGGGGACACGGGAACACGTGGACGCAATCTTCCGCGACCCCGGCGCGACTATGGCCCTGTTTAGGCCTCCTCTACTGTATCGTGCTGTGCCGGTGCAATTGGCACAGCACACGTCTCGAGCCCCATATTGAGCGACAGACACCCCCATGTCTGCCGCTCAGGGTCTCGCTATCAGGGGGGAAGGTTGCGCGCGTAGGCCAGCCTCCTGCGCCCTGGTCTCCGGCGGCGGATTTCCTGGGTGGCAGTTGCCTCCCTTTCCCTCTCCGCGGCCTCCTTCCGGGTGATAACGTCCTCGCAATATGCGAGGACAGCACCCCACGCTCTCTCGCTGTCAACCATAGCGCGAACCACGGCTGGCAGCGAGAGGTCGTGCCCCACGATAGCGCATAGCTCTCGGCGCTGCTCCGTCCAGGCTGAGCACTCCTCCAGTGCGTGTTGGGCCGTCTCCTCAGCACATACGTCACAGTGGTGACATTCCGCTGTGGGCTCCCTCCTCGCCACGCGAAACAGGTACCTCCCGAAACAGCCATGTCCCGAGAGGATCTGCGTCGCACGGTAGGTGAGGGTGCCGTGTCGCCTGTCCAGCCACTTCCTGAGGATAGGACGTATGGCCTCTACGGTTCTTAGGCCGGCACTGGGGTGCTCCAGCCTCTGCTCCCACTCCCCGATGGCCCTTGAGCGCAGGTGATCCCTGCGCTCCCCCAACTCCTCCGGGGCCGGCGTATGGCCCTGGGCTTTTGCAGCCTCGCGCCAGGAGTGCAATGACGCGAGGATCTTAGCTTCCAGATCCCAGGGCAGAAAGCCGGCCAACAGGCAAGCCGCCTCACCGGAGATCGTCCGGTAGCCCCGTATGGCCCGAATAGCCAACACCCTCTGTGGTTTGCGCAAAAGCGCTTGGGTCCGGCGCTTCAGGGTGTCAGCCCAAACGGGAGCTCCGTACAGGGCCATGGACCGCACGACTCCGGCGTATAGGCGACGGCAGGAGTCATTGGGGCCGCCAACGTTCGGGAGCAGCCTACCGAGAGCTGCCGCTGCTTTCGCCACTTTGGGAGCCAGACGCTCGAAGTGGGCCCGGAAATCCCATCGGCGATCTAGAACTAGGCCGAGGTACCTCATCGTAGATGTTACATCGACACGGACCCCACACACAATAATGTGAGCATCCGCAGGTGGCGCGTTCCGAGGCCCATAAAAACATAGAGCCTCGGATTTATTCAGCGCCACCTCTAGCCCTAGTCGCCGAATGCGTCCCACCACCTGAGCCACTCCCGCAGTGGCGAGAATAGCGGCACGGCGAAAGTTTATGCCACGGGCGGTCACAAGGGTGTCATCGGCGTAACAAATCACCTCGACACCCCTGAGATAGGCGCCACGTAGCACCCAGTCATAGCCTATATTCCACAGGAGTGGCCCTAACACCGACCCCTGTGGAACACCGCACGTCACCTCGATGGTCCGATACCCGTCTTGGCACGGAAACTCAACACGGCGATGCGACAAGTAGGCCTCGATGGTAAGGCGCAGGTAGAGAGGCACTCCATGGAACCGGAGCGCCTCCCTAATGCAAGCCCAGGGCAGAGTGTTAAAGGCGTTGGCGATGTCAAGAGACACCGCCAAGACAACTCCGCCCTGGGAAACTGCTTCCTGTGCGAGAGACCTAACTTGCAACACCGCGTGGATAGTTGACCGACCCTTGCGGAACCCGAACTGCCTCTTCGCCAGATTCGGCCCAACGTTTCCCAGATGATCGACGATGCGGCCAGCGACAACTCTTTCAAAGAGCTTCCCCACATCGTCGAGTAAAACTATCGGCCGATAGGCGGAGGGCGAGTCCACGGGACGCCCCACCTTCCGGATGAGGACGAGTCTGCCTGTCTTCCACTTCTGTGGAATTATAGCTTGGGCCAGACAGGCAGTAAACATCGCCCTCAGCCTGGGCTCCAGGGCATCCCCCAGGGCCAAGGCCCAGGCTCGTCCCGGGATACCGTCGGGACCCGGGGCGGCGCTTTTGACTTTCATCCTAAGGACGGCAGCGCCGAACTCGCCCGGAGTCACCTCAGGTACATCCAGGCTCTGGTCGGTCACCTCCGTGCCGGGTCGAACCATCGCTGGTGGCGTGTGCTCCTCCCGCTGTGGAAATAAAGCTGCAGGCGATTGCCGTTACCAGTTGTGGCTGCAGGCTCTGTGTTAATGGGGGGCCCAGGGGCGAAGCTTGTTCATCACCATCCTGTAATGCCTCCCCCATGGATCACGGTTGAGTGCAGCCAAAAACTGCTCCCTAGCAACGGCAATCGCCGACGCTATAGCCACCTGCAATGCCATCTTGGCCTGTCTGAAGGAGGCGTACAGTTCGGTTTCCTGGGCTAAATCCCTGCGCCGTCGCCTTCGGCATCGGGTGTACCGGCGTCTTGCTGCTAGACACTCACTGCGCATTTGCGCGATTTCCGCAGACCACCAGTACACCTGGCGCTTGGGAGGAAGTTTTCTGGACCGGGACATGGACGCATCACACACCTGCGTCATAACTTCCCGGAACCATTCCGCCTCCTCCTCAACATCCAAGTGCCTAGGCGTAGACACCCAGGACTGGACGATTGCCGCCTCCTTCAGGACTTCTCGGTCCAGGCTTCTGAGCTGCCACCTTGGGCCACCTTCCCTAGCCGGTCGGCTTGGGCTGGTCAAGGGATCTGGTAGAGCGGAGACGTCGAATCTGATATAACGGTGATCCGACAGTGTCTCTACGCCAACAACCACCTTCCAGCCTCGGACACGGCGTGCTAATGCGGGGCTTGCGAACGAAACGTCCACGACTGATCCGCCCCGCGACCGCACGCACGTGTTCACCGAGCCCCGGTTTAGGATAGACAGCCCGACCTCGAGGAGCCATTCCTCCAGCACCCTACCACGCGCGTCTGTTATGGGCGATCCCCACGCCGCAGATTTGGCATTGAGATCCCCAGCAACAAGCACAGGGTAGGGATTCAACTGGCGGAGCATTGACCCCAGTCGGTCAAGGTAGCTCTCGAACTCGGCCAGCGTTCTGTTGGGAGAGAAATACACAGAAATGACAAAAATCTCTCCGACAAGAGCTGCCACGAAGCCTGGACCTTTCCTCACATTACTGGGAGGAGGAGAACCTGCAGTGGTTCTGCAGACCACAGCCGCTGTGCCGGAGTGGTCCCCAGCCCAGTACTCGCTAGGGGGTACGAAGTACGGTTCCGACACCAGGGCCACCTGTGTCATCCACTGTGCCATGCTCTGGAGTAAAAGATCCTGAGCCCTAGCACAGTGGTTGAGGTTCGCTTGCAGGAAACTTAGGATGGCCATTCACTATTCAATGGTCATTTGAATCTCCTCCTCTCGGACCACACTGGCGTTAGGGCGAGATGATGCCGACCGGGTAAAGATTTCAGCGGCACCGTTTCTGCTTTTCCTCTTTTCTGGTTTATTAGAGGAGCAAGCCTTGCTACCAAGTTTATGGCTAGCAGGCTTTTTTGATGCAGCACACACTAAGCAATGTGGCACTGCGCAACATTGGCCGGAAAGGTGGCCCGTTTGACCACAACGGTAGCATGCGCTACTGCGATCGACTTCTGCCGTGCACTGCTCCCGGACATGGCCTACCTCCAGGCAACGGAAGCACCGCAGGGGCCGTCGTGGCATTAGTCTGGCTCGCACCGACGACCACCCAATGAGGAGACGACCGGCTTTAATTACTTTGTCAGCTGCACCGACAGGGCAAGACACCAGGATCGTTCCCAGTCCTGACCTGTCTCGACGAATTTCTCCCGTCTTAATGGAGGTAACTGGGCAATCGCCTACCTGCGCGACAACAGAAGCCACCTCCGCACTTTCGGCAGAGTCATCCAGGCCAGATATACGCAGATCAGCACATTTTTCCGGCCTGGAGATCACAGCGACATCTTCGTTTATGACCCGGCGCAATTTTTCCGCTAACAAATTAGCCTTATCGCTGCTGGTGGCTCCCGGAACTTCCAAAATTCTCGCGCCCGTGATAGTTTTTCTAAAGCGGATGGCATGGATACCCATATTCTCCAGGTCCATAGCTTCCTTCGCCTCTTTTAGGATGCTGGCATAGGTGACCCCTTTGCTTGCTGCAACCTGCTGCAGCTTAATGACTACAGCAGAAGAGCGTGGGGGTCGCAAATTTGGCATCCTCTGACACTCCTGGGGCTTTGCGCTTTTCCCACTCGTTGCGGGTTCCGTGCCGTTCCTGACTGATTTGCGCCGGGTTACTAGAGTCCACTCTTCGGAGCACCCAGGAGTTGCCGGTGGAACAAGACTTGCCCCTTGGGTGGCAACGGCTGGAGTATTCCTTTTTGTTGGCATTCCCTTTTGTGTCTTCATTTGCAGCGAAGGACAGGAAGACAAAGATCCGGATATAGCTTGGGGAGCAGGTTGGACCGCTGGCTTCACCACTGGCTTGGCCAATTGCGGCGCTGTCCTGGTTGAAACGGCATATGACGTCACCTGTTTGTCCGCGGCGAGTGGCGGGCGGAGGCGCTTTTCTGGTAGAAGGCGGCCCTCCAGGTTCTCCAGTCTGGCGTTTATCATAGTGCCTACCGCCTCCATAATTGAGCGCTGCAACAATTCCTGGTCGACTAAAGCTCCTTGGACCTGAGCCTCTTGGACCTGAGGCCGTTGCAGATCCGCACGCAGTGCTGCTAACTCGTTACGGAGTTCTGATATCTCCACCTTTAGTCGCTTATTATCATCCGAAAGCTTTTTCGTCTCAGCTGATGTTTTTGAATTGCTGAGAACTTCAACGGCATCTTTAATCGCTGAAGCGGCCTCCTTTAAAGTCCGAACAAACGCCCCCTTTAGGTTTGATGTCTTCGAAGCCACTTGGGTGATCAGAGCAGTATGATGAAGGATCTGTTCCCTAAGATCCTCCGCTGTAGGAGCTTCGTCCATCCCGTCTGTTGAGGACCTGGTAGAGCAACCCAGGCGCTGATCATGAGTTTTTCGTTTCCCTCCTGAAGTCTCATCTCCAGCCTGAAACTCGAGATCTGCGACTGACAGGGCAGTTTTTTTCTGAGGCCTCTGTCGATCATCATCGTCCTTATTCCGAGCAGTCTTATCTCGATTCCCAGTGGAACCCAGCCTAGGCTGACTTGCCTGAGGCACCTCTTCTTGTACGCTAGATCGCTTGAGGAAGCGTCCTCTAGCATCTCTACGTAGAGCTGGGGACGATGTACGTCCTCGGCCACTTTTCCCAGCCACCACCTTCTGTGCTGGCTCCTCATCCTCGCTTGTGACTCCACTGAGATTGGGGTCCTCACCCTCTCTAGGGCGCTTGCGGACGTCCCCGAAAAATTTCGAGGTTCTATCCTCAGGCAACCTTATTGTTTCCCCTGCTGACGAAGACCTCCTCCGGTCCACATGACTTATGCTAACTAAATCGCTTATCAGATCCGTTTCCATGCCTTTATCGTTTTTATTTGGTTTGTTTAATTTTTCCATTAAAATCCCACGAGTATTTAGGTACATAACAGTCCGCCGGGCCAGTGACCTTGTAGCCCGGTAGCCCTACATACACCTGGGGGTCGGGAGGTACCCAGGGTTGGCCGCTATGACTGGTTTGTCGGTCCAGCCGCTCTTTCGAGCATTCAGCGCCGCGAACCGCAACGCCGAAATTTCCGGATTTTTTAGTGAGGTTTACTCCTCTCGGTCCGGCCGGTTAAGGCAAGACCCTCAGTTCTACCGCAGGCCGCGAGACATGATCCACGACACCTGCAGCAGAGTACCGAGATCACCCGGTGTCGGCAAAAGCCGAGTGCACTTGGCAAACACACCGCGTGAGTCACACTGTCCCCTTTCGGGAACTTCCTTTCATACATCACGCAAACACTCAGCCTGATTCCCCTTACCCCCCAAAGCACACACCTTCCATACATCTCGCACATTCCCCCCCATGTTGCATCCCCTGGCCCCTCTCATTAGAGAGGGATACTGGGAGCAGCGAAGGCCCGCCTTGCAGGCTTGCCTCCTAGGACATCGAGTCCTTGGACGTCCATGAGTCCTGAAAAGGACTCACAGAACGCCCCCCCCCCTGCCAGTTTTGGTCCGCGCCGGTTTCCCGGTATCACCCTAATTTGGATGACATTCCCCTATCCGCCACCTGGGGACGCGCCCGATGGGAGATCTGGCAACTCCTCACGGGAACGCATCTATAACCCTACGGATATTGCAAATATCAATGGGCGGCGGTTATCACTTAACATCAGGTGAACCGCCAGCTCGTTTGCCACCTTCTCACATAAAAAAGGTGACAAACGTATATTATATATTTAGCTGTTTTCAACAGCATGCAAGTAAAGTTTAATAATTAAACTAATTCGAAAGAAAAATAAACGTCCTTTTATATATTAATTAGTGCATCGACTTGTAATAAAGACAAGAAATATTTATTTGTATCCAGTGTCCAAGGCTTCATAGCTTTGAACCGATACCAGGTGAGTGTTTAACAGTTACAAAGCTATATTTTCTTTGCAGCTCCAATAAAGCATACGAAGAGGTCTGCCCGCCACTTGACATCCAGACGAAATCAACTATTGCCACCAAACTAGCGGCACTCACACACAAGGCTCAGAATTTCGTAAGTTTTTTGAACATTAATTGGCTAAATAATTTCTCTCCTTATTTTGTGTTACTTTTATGTCGATACGGACTTCGTATGTATAATAACTACTCGCGAAGTAAATATAACAAAATGTACTATCGTCACCATGATGGTCATCATCCCAGAACCAGGCAGATGGAGACATATAGAAAGATATAAACTTAGGACAATAAGGAAGATTGTGCACAATAGTTTCAGCTTCAGAATAAAGTATGAAAAATATTTCACAACATTTTAAAGATTAAGATTGTGTTTCTGCGAAGTTAGCTTAACTGATCTTCACTTAGAGAACTTGAATGAACTCGGTTTGGGCTCATTCCTAAGATCGGTTATGATGATATAAATGATAACAGAATTTATTATAACACTGTGAGTGTACGTGAACAACTGACACACACACATATATACAGGTTGTAGGTACACTTTAGGTAAAAATAAACTCGTTACTCATAAGACTCAACTGAAATCGACAACTGCTATCATTGTGCAAATATTTCACATTTTTGCAACATTCTGCGAAAGTAAATTCGAACCTTGAACTAATAACTCGAAAGGATCATTTCAACCGACGGATTGATGGTGAATTTAACGACGCATTAAGCAAAATATCGTTGTCACAAACGGTTCTACTGATTTAGTAGATCTAGATTACGTTTCATGAGAACGGAATTCCCAAAACTTATTTTGACTACATCAGCCATCTGTTATGTAGATTTCACTTTTAGTGGGAAAGGTAAGAAAATGGTTAGTGAGCTCAATCAACTTATCACTTAGCATCAGATGAACCTATCTTAAGTGATAACCGCCGCCCACGGACATTTGCAACAGCCGTAGGGTTACAAATGCGTTGCCACCACTCAATAAAGTGGGCACCTGTTACTTCACTCACCAGACGAAAGGCAGAATACAACACGTGCTCTTCACGTCGGTCTTCTGTGAGGTCGTGGTACTTCCCCGGACGGACTTGCCAACAGCGAAGACTGCTGCTCTCCCTACCACAGGGCTAGATTTAACTTCACTTTAATGAACCGCACTTTAAGTAAGACAGTGAACCAACAATACCTCACACACTCTCCTCAATACCTCACGTCTGCCACTCGTATTCGACCTTCCCGCGATCCTTGGTCACCTGTTTCTCCATCAACTCTGCACGAGAAAGTGTGTCGTTATAAGTAGGCGGTTCGCCCCGTGTGAAACATGAAAACGGGCAACCGGTAGATACAAATGGCAAAGTGTCTTTCAGTGTGCCGTTCTAAGCGTGAGGCATTGTTGTTCAACATTGGACGTCTCAGGGCCGATGATGACGATAGTGATGCAAATGGGGAAGCGTGTTTCGTTGTGGCGTTCGAAGTTTGAGGCCTATGCTCAACAGTGGACGACTCACGGCCGATGACGATGGTGATGACGATGATGATGATGATGATGATGATGATGATGAATAATGAATAATGAAAGAGCACCATCCCCGGCGACAGGCCAGCCGCATCTCCTCAGCGGCCGGCAGCCGCCGCGCCTCCGTCACCGACGAGGCTGTAGTGGTGCAGGCGTCCGCGTCCTCTGGCGTCTCTTCGGGCGGCAGCTCGGGGGACGAGGCCCCGCCGCCCCCGCCTCCACCGCCGGCTCCCCCCGCGCCGCCCCCGCCCGTGGTACTAGAGGAGCCCGCCCTCAGACCCTCGGAGCTACGCGGCAGAGGAGGTGGTGAGTGTACTAATATTGAATTAGACCCACCCCCTCCACCTCCCCCCACCCTCCACGATTTCCCTTGCGTTGGTGCTGGAGTAACCCGCCCTCAGAGCTACGCGGCAGAGTAGTAAAATTGAATTCTAAGACACTATTGCGTTTTATCTGAAGAGTGAGCTGGTTAGGTTTTTAAAGTTTTTGTTCAATGTGAAAAGTTGCCAAGCGAGCAGACGGTTCACCTGATGTTAAGTGAATATCGCCGCCCACGGACATCTGCTAAACCCGAGGGTTCCAGATGCGTTGACAGCTTTTGAAAATTAGGCTCCGGCCACCTCACTCACCAGACGAAACGTGAAAGTAATATACTTCCCCTTTACGCCGGTCTTCTTTGAGGTCGTGGTACTTACCGGGAGGACCCTACCCATTCCTGCAACAGCCGAGGCTGCTGCATGGCTCTACCACCGTGTTCCAAAAGTGTAATTACTTCTGTTTTATGTCGGTATCGTAAATAACTTACACAGATGAGTCGCCACATTCGAGGTTCAGCCACAGTGAGAATACCACAATGATATCTAAATATGTCTTGTGTGCGGAGTAGACCATCGGACGCGTGTAGGATGTACACATATGTAGATTGTTAGTTTAGTTTTTAAATATTTATTCTTCAGAGCAATTCACTGTCTTCTTGGGTTATGTACTAGCTTCGGATTTTCATAGGTTTTTTGTTTTAATTTGGGATTTGATTGTGGCATTGACTGATGATTTTGAAGTAATTGTATAATTACTTCAAGAGCTTTGATTTATTTTTACTAGTAAGCAGCAGGTTTCATTCTAGTCGTTTATGATTGTCACAATGATGTAACATATGAGTGTAACAAAATGAAAAAATATTTCCACAGTGGTAAATAAAGCTTTAACGCTGACTTATCTCTTATATATAAGAATGAATGGCTGAATGTGTTGCCAAGCGCAAATCTCGAGAACAGCTGAACCGATTTCACTAAATCTTTTTTTATAATATTTCTTGAAGTACGTGGATGTTCCTTACATTAAAAAGGAAAAATTTAGAAAATTGCCTGATAAAGTCTAAAAACAACACTTTTCTATATTCCCGTATAAAAGATTCGTAATAATACTTAAAAGTTAATTTGAACTTTAATACCATACCATAAAGTTTAAATGTTATTGGAGGGGTTCCGGGAAGGCAAAACGAGTGACTGTGTTAAAATGTCACTTGAAATGTAAACGTCTCTTTACTGTACATCACTACATGGTATAAAACAAAGTCGTCCCGCTGTCTGTCTGTCCCTATGTATGCTTATATCTTTAACGCAACGGATCTTGATGCGTTTTTTTTTTACTAGATAAAGTGATTCAAGAGGAAGGTTCATATGTATAATATATTGCACCCGTGCGAAGCCGGGGCGGGTCGCTAGTAAATAATAAAAATATCCTTTTCATGTTTCACTCAAGCAATTTGTTGGAAAAAATATTTAAGTGGGGCTCCCATTAAAACATACATGTTATCCTTTTTTTTTTTTGCTGTTTTTATAGATAATCGTATGGAACCCTTCGTGCGCGAGTTAGACTCGCACTTGGCCGGTAATTTCAACTCATGTGTCGCGTAATTAGTACCCCATTGATTCGTCACTCGTGGACTTGCTCTCATTAAGTAATACGATTGTGATATCTCATTCAGACATTTAAAGAAACACAATATAAAATTGACACAGTGATATTACACTACTACAATTACCTGTGAAATTGAACAGTGAAGAATATTACACTACTACAATTACATATGCTATTAATTTAAAAAGAAAGTAGCGTTATATCGTGAGTGCTCTCACACAAAATTGATATTCTTTCCTTTTACATAAGAAGGAAAAGACGACACTCTCAAGATTTTGAAAATCACCATCACACGTCTACCACAGCTGGCACACCTGTAATTAAAGCAGTTCACTTTCTATTGCAAGGTTTAATGGGCTCTTAGTCGCGTTCTGATTAAACTGCGCATACGAAACCACCCACGGGCACCGAATGCGTGGAGTGGCGCGTTCAAAAGTGTGACTAAAAACTTTTTTTTTCACACCACTCTCATTTTCATGGTGTCGCGTAAAAGTTAAAAAGCGGTCGGCGAATGCAAATTATGAGTTGGTCGGGTAACATTGTGTGCTTTCGTAATACTCGTATGAAGAAACAACATAACTAAATGGAACATGGGCGATGTGACTTGAAACACTTTCTTTTTCTAAGTCGGTTTAAGTTTTATTGGATTATCCATACTGAATTTTATTGTAATAATTGTTAATTTAAACACTAGACACTTGTGCACATTGGTCCCACTGTAGGGCAACCCCTGGACAGGTGTAAGTACAGCGCGTTTTTGTAGACTTGCGATAGCTTCGAAAGATTTATTAAATGAAATTAATTCTAAGTGATATTCTCTGCTCTGAGTTAAAACTAGTGGAACAATCTTCTACACTTGAATAAAAAACAAGTTGAGATTTTCCGTTTAGCTCAAAGGCTACAGCGTTGGGCACGTACTCCTGGGTAGTAGGTTCAAAATCTCGCAGCCGCAAAAAGCTTTTCGTCCAGTGACATAACGACAAACTATACCGCGACGGCGCGGGGACTTACAAATCGTACCGCGGGACTTTTTTAGGGATGCAGACTTACGCCCGGTTAACACTGCTCATCGTAGAAATTAACTAATCAGCTGTCAAACGGCTAGTCAAATGTCATTTTATTTTCCAAAAGGATGGTTAAACTCTTTGAATTGATCATTACGATCATTAAGAACATTTGAAAGCAGATTAGTTAATTTCTACGATGATTAGTGTTACAGAAACCGGGCGTTAGTTGAAGTAACAAATACCTTTAAGTAAGTACTTAAGTTAATTTTTGTTTGACGGCGCGCGATAACTGTAAGTGAGAGTTGTGGTGCTACTTGCATTTATTAACAATCACTTTTTTTGTATAACTAATGTTACGCTTTCAGTCCTTAGATTATTTTTTTATTTTATTTTATTGAGCAACAAAATCAAATACAGCCTTTAGTTATTTAAATGTATATCACATATGCTTAACTTACAGCCAAGAAAGGATTTACATTTTATAGTTAGAATATATAAAATAATAATTGAGCAGTTTAGTAGAGTAAACAATGTTTTAAAAAAAATAATGAAGCCTGTTATATTAAAAAATATATAAAAGCTTTCAATCACTTGCATGAATGTGCGGCTTCCATGTTTTGTTAGCATTAGCTGTTTTCGTCCATTTTTCTACAGATTTTAAGGGTCGAAGGATTTTTATATTTTTTATAGTAAAGTATCAGCCTATAAATGTCCCACAATTGGGCAAAGGCCTCCTCTGTACAGAGGGTGTCAGGGCATAGTCCAGCACGCGACCCCACTGCGGATTGGCGGACTTCACGTATTTTCGAAATCCTTTTTTTGTTATTATTTCGAAAATATGCAGTTTTTCTCACGATGTTTTCCTTCACCGCTGAGCCACGTGATAATTCGGCACTTAAAATTAACAATTTCATTGGTGCCGGCACCGGGGATCGAACTCAGGTTGCTCGAGTATATTAATTTAAAGGCGAGCGCCCGGACACTGAGCTATCACGGCTCTAATATTTCTTATACATAGCAAATTTTCCCGCGATAAATTCCGTCAGTACCGAGCACGTCCCAAATATGCACTCCAAACCGGGAGACTGAGCTCTCAATCTTCAAAACATTCTTTGTCAAGTTTAACTGCCTGAACTCTTAACTGTTTGGAGATCGAATAAGACAATAGTCCAAATGCAATATTAAAGCAACCTTTGGTCTAAGCTATTTTGTCGAAAAAGCTTTAGTTAACGCGTCTTAGAAAGCGACGCTCTCTTTCTCATGTATTCTTAGTCAACCTAAAAATATGATCCGATGTGCGGAAATACATTAGAATTAGCTATCTCCATATCGCATAAAGAAAGGTAATAAGATTTCCGCTTTAAATCCACCATTATTTAATTACCATTTCGAATTAAGGAAAGAGCCGTTAATTCGAAATGTAAAAATAAAGTTAATGAAATTGGACCACACTCATAAATCTAAACAGTAAAATTTTATTGTTAGAGCACTAAACATGGACGAAATGAATTAAAAACAACACTGGAAAGTTTCAGTTTTAATAATTACAGCTGTTTTTATATACACATATTCACGACTTATCTTTACGCCTCTATGTTACGGAAGGAGAGTCGATAGCTTTTTATGATTTACGTGGCAATTGTAATTTATTTTTGTAGCCAAGAAATGCTCGTTTTTCCTGATAAATAAATAAATACATATTTTTCGAGCAAATGAGTATCATTTTACGTATTACAACATATTTTTGAATGGTTTTAATGTATCATTCTTTATATATCGGTAAGACCGCCAGTCTTACCAATATAATAGGTAACATTGAGTGGAGATTCCTATAATAATAATAATGTAAAATTAGTAAACAATGTTTTTTTTGAATGGTCTATGGTAACAATAAACAAGGAACTTATGTAACAATCAAGGGATTCTTATTGCCTGTTTCACTCCCTTCACGAAAAGGTAATGATGAATGAATGAATGAATGAATATTCTTTATTGCACACACCATGGTAAAAAGAATACATTAAAAATAACAATTATGCAAGGGTTGTACAATGGGCGGCCTTATTACTTAAAGCAATTTCTTCCAGGCAACCTTTGGATGGACATAATATGAAAAGAATATTTTAGGGGTGTGGGTAAAATTCTATAAATTTTATAAGATAAATACATTCTTTGTTGTAAAAAATAAATAAATTAATAGATAAATGAGTACATAAATAACAAAACAAATATATATATATATATATATATATAAATATATTTATATATAACATATATACATGTATATATAAACATAGTTAATACATTCTGTATCTAAACCAGATTTAAAGTGACAAATAGTGACTCTTGACAATGTTTTTAAAAGTGGAAAGTGACTGAGCACGTCTCACCTCCAGAGGTAGGGCATTCCATAATTTCGCAAAGGTAATGATATATTTTTATTTATTGATATTTATCTTTCTAATAAATTAGGTACATAACTAAGGGTG